ACAATTCTCTAAAGTGGAAAACACACTGCTTGACTGAATCTCATTGAACAGATGCCTATAAGCTTACAGGCTGAACGGACTCATGGGAACAAAGAAAGATTGTAATACTCGTTAAAAATAAGAAGTAAAGTAGTTGAGTGCTTAGGTAACTGAAATTATTTGGGAAGTGGCACGAGCCCTAATGTGCCTCGGTAACTAAGCGATAGAGTGCTCACCGACCACACATGTGGTCCAGGGTTCGACGAACTCCTAAACATGTCTAGGCCGGTAATAAGACCGGTAAAGAGGGAAGGATTGTCATGAAACACCCCGTAAAAATTTTAAAAAATCACCACTGCCACCAAAATTCCAAGGCTGTATCCAGAAGTCCTATTTTCCACTGGGAAAGCAAAGAAGAAAGTAAAGACAAGCTCTAATGGATTGGTTGCTGGTGATAAAGAGGAAGAAGGGCAACACAGAACAGTTCAGAATTTACATATTTACGTTATCTTTAAAGCACTTCGAAAATCCGGAGAGGGATTTTCCGTCTTGTTATGGCTTCCGTGATTAAAAAATGTAAAGCGATTAAACGCTTTATATCATATGCGGTTATGTCAACATGCTGGTGTTAATTATAGTAATATGTCAAATTATAATAACGTTAGGAACAGGGTGTTAGGTAAGTAGACTGAGTCGAATGACGAGGTCATGAAGCGTACCCATCTGAAGTGGCTGAAACAAGTGATATGCATGCTTATCGACATGTTCCATCAGGAACGAAGTACGACTAGGTTGAAAAGAGTTGGAGGCAGTCTAACCAAATCATGGCACCGCATAGAGTGGTTTAGGTTACCTATTTAGGATCATCAAGACGCTGAGACTCTTGGTGATATGGCTCAAAATCGTGCTAAATGACACGGACAAATTCACTTCTTATGACCTTTAAGACTATAAAAGGCTTAACTGACCTTCATTTGCATGGAGGGTTTCATCATGAGCTGACATCAGTTAGAGAACCACTGGAAAACCAGCTGGGAGTACTGGACAGCTACTTCGTCCTAGTTTGGGACTCTTCAGCAGTACGCGCCCAACGGGATTCGAACCCAGGACCTTCTGGTTACGAGGCGAGCTCGTAGACCATTGAGCCACTGGGACCCGATCCAATGGTCCTTGAATTCTAACTTCTGCCAATTCACGACATAGCGCGACCATTTCGTAATGTCTTCTTCGTGAGTAACTGTCCTCATCTTCGACCTGCTGTACCCTACTGGTCACGGCTTCCCACTAGAACCCCAGGTTAACTGCCTGAATAGGGCCAGTCACTAGTGAGCATCAGATTAATTTGCAAGTATTGGTTTTGTAGGGATTTGGTTTGATTGCATGGAGGGTTTCATCATGAGCTGACATCAGTTAGATCTTCATTTAGCTATTCCTCATGTCAAATCCATGTGTATCTGCCGTATTATGGTTCTGTTTTGATTCTTTTATTTTATATGATCTTTCGAACTGTGGTAACCTGAACTAGTTTACTACTGTACACAGTTCTACCTTGATCACTCAGTCAGACTGTTAATTCTTGTTCATTTCATGGAGTGAGATATTCGTCTCTTATCTTGAAGAATGTAATCTACATTCCTATGTACTAAATTTGACTAAATTATCTGCATCAGTCAATTGTTCCTTACCACAAATTCATTTACTTTATACTAAATTAGTTATGAGGTAAACTTGATTTCACTACTTACAGCGTCAAATTACTTTCCACAGGCTTCCTTTTTTAAAGTTATTAAACTTAATTTTACCTATTCTTCTATATATATACTTCATCTGAAATAGTATGGCTAAAATTTCTGAATTACGTTTTCAGCTACACTATGCAATCATTCGTGTTGCACAATTAAATGCCTTAACACCTAACTGTAGACATTCAAAACTCTACTTCATCTTGCTTTATTAGGAGTTCGTTTATGCTGCCACACGAACAGTTAAGATAATTCAAAATTATTAATACCTCAGTTATTGTTTTCTCTCTCTCTCTCCAAAAATATCTCATTCTACCAATAATAATTCACAAAACAGATAAACAAACAGAAAAACTGTTTGTGTGAAAAAGAAAATCACAAATCACTAGTCTCTAATATATGAATTGATTCTTTCCTTATCATTAATATTGTAATAAACACGAGTACTTCTGCTTGCGGGTTGTTTTTCTTTCAGTTTTTCCTATACAATAATCCAAAAATAAAAATAAATAAATACCAGGAATATGCACATTCATATATCTTTGTATGCGTGATCACATTATGAAGTGAAGGGTATTTTTTATTGAATTACTAAAACAGTATTGCATAAATACTCTGTTGGTGGCAAAAATAAGATGAATTTATCATTAAGATGCTGTACAGTATTACTGAATGCATTCACTTAGTGTAATCATGGGTTGGTAATTTTTATTACTTAGGGTTTAAATTGTAGCTGTTGTTTTTTTCAATTAAAGTTATTTATATTTAAAATCATATATATATATATATATGCGCATGCAGCAAAATGCTATTTATCAAATTGTTTGAGTATCAAATAAACAACCCTTCGCGTGTTCCACACTTCATTTTGGTGTTAATATTGTGTAGCAAACACATAAAAGTAACATAAGACCAGGCAATTATGCAGAATTTTATCCACCAACCAGTGAATTGTTTAAAAGTATTACACGAAGAGAAGCTTAGAATTAAAAACTATGCGATGAATGTCGACTTACAAAACTAATCAGTTACAACTCAACTTTTTAGAGATTAGATGGCAGATGTGCGTCGGTGGTATAGCGGTTGGGACGCTCGCCGACTATGCACATGGTCCGAAGTTTGATCCCCGGCCGACACACTCCTTTACCTCGCTGAGCCAGAAATAATGCTGGTAAAGAGGAAAGGTTGGGTATGAGGCCAGCAACCTCATCCTGTAAAATAAACACTGCTACAGAAACTTTAAGCCACTAGCTTGAAGCCCTATGTTCCACTGGGGAACGTGAAGGAAAAAAAAGATGGCAGATAATATAGCTGAGAAAAAAACCCCATGAGCGGGTCTCATCGTCGTCATGCACTTAAGCGCATATTATCAAAACATTCCAGAGTAAGGCTGATTAACTGCTCAGTAGCGACTGGTTTACAGCATATAGCTAACTGCTGGGAACCAATATCAACTTTACTTGATCCACTAAATCGACTAAATAGAAAGAATGGAGCAAAGACAATGAATAACTTAACTGAAAAATCCATGACCATCATGGGAGTTATACAGCTGTCAGTAGCTCTATGAAATTGGATGTTATGTCAAATAAACTGATGTAACAATGAATTCTTAATATTTGTTGAAACCAGGGAAATAATTATCCCAAATAGGACGAAATGCGCCTCCTGGATTCCACTGCTTGTCACCATCCACCAATTAAATTCCAGAGAAATAATTGTTTATTATTGTCATTCCATTGAGGACTTATGATCAAAATTCGGGCTTAGCTGGAAATATTTCAGAAAAGGCCTCCAATGATATTTTTTATAGTTTTTAACAAACAAATAGCTTACTAGTGACGAAAACAGAATATGGATAACGTCTGAGAGTGGAACAATAATACCATTTTAGTCCTAATGAATAAAAACACTCTCATAATTTTCAGTATACTACCAAAATCGATTGATAGATTCTTCAGACTTACGATGCATATGTAAAGTCCACTTTATGTTATCTTCAAAATTAAAGTCTGTTTACACTGTGAGCTGATCAAAACTCAATGAACACCTAAGAAATACTCATCTAAAGTTTTTAATTACTCAGCATTTAAAGTGTTTCTTTTTTTCATAAACATTTTTTAATTACCTTTTGTAGTTAATTAAACTTACTGTAGCCCAACTTGAACGTGTAAAATTTCGTTACCGAATAAAAATACACTTGCTTCCACCACTAATTAATGTGAATAAAATTTTTAGCTTTTTCCACAATTTCATACACGTGGTTCACTTGTTAAATATCGATAATGTAAAATGATGTCATCTAATTTCACAGGTTCTTATCAGCTTCAGACTACCTAAAATTACAAGGGTTATGAAAGAATGAAAGCAACGTCGGTGGCACAGCGGTTGGGACGCTCACCGATCATGCACACGGTCTGGGGTTCCATCCCCGACCGATGCACTCCTTCAACCTGGCTAAGCCAGTAATAAAAAAGCTGGTAAAGAGGAAAGGTTGGGCATGAGGCTAGGAACCCCATCCTGTAAAAATAAACACTGCTACAGAAACTTCAAGCCTCTAGCTTGAAGCCCTGTGTTCCACTGGGAACGTGAAGGAATGCAAAAAGAAGAAGTAGAAAACACTGTTAGTTCGTGAGGTTACGTAACAACTCAAAAAATTTCTAGATCACATGAATAAAGTTGCCTGAGTAAGCTCTAAGTACTAGTATGAGTGATTATGCAATATAAATCAAAATGCAGTTATCAAGGCAGTGAGGAACTGATCACACTCTCTTTCTGTAAGCGTAAATTTGTTTGAAAACGTCTGTCTGCAATCGATTTGGCGAGATGTAGTAAATATGACAGCATTTTAGCCTTCAATATTTCAAAAGATTTGGAGAATTCTACAAAAGTTCCCGTGTCCACGAGGTGTCTGATAATTGTACTTCGTCAGTATCTGATTCTATTCAGGCACAAATTTCTCGAAATATGTTGAACAAGCCGGATGCAAGGTTTTTTATCTTTCCTTCTGATATACTTTTTGATGGTCCTTTTTTGCTTCATCGGAATTCGTAGTTTTGACTGAGTGTTGAATATATTGTCAGAATGAATGTATTACCGTTTATTGCAAAAGCAACTAGAAATCAGTACTATTAGAAAGACTAAAGTATACTAACTTTAAATTAACATGAAAGATACCAATAAAACGAATTTAAGGATTTCATCCATTTTCGTCATAACGATTGCTTAACTTACTTTGAACGAATTTCGTTTTATCGTGTTTTACAAAATCTCATTTAGGATTCTCAGTCACCTGGAAAAAGCAATGAGTTGCTAAATGCAGTCTACGCTTCAAATGTTCAACTGAAAAAGGTAAAGTATTTTAGAGTGTTTATTTTTAGTATGTTTCTATATTGTGTTCCTATTTATTGATGACTGTTTCTACTCATTACACTGAGTATAATGTAATACTAGAAGTTTAAATACGAACTTATACTGTTCGGAAATCCAATTTATGAAATAAAATGCTGATTAGTGAACAAAGAATATTCTTCTTCAAGTTGCACAGTTTTATGTCTATACTAGTTGGGAATGGTTTTTTCTTCTTTTTTGCGAAAATCAAGTCGTTGTAATAAAAGCATTTGAGAGAGTTAAACAATAAAATACTCTTGACTTCGAAATAAATGTTTAAAATAAACACAAACCAATATTTGGTCTTCGATTTAGGTTCGTTTAAATGTTGTCAATTTTATTTATCTATTGATAAATTTAGTTATCTTGTTTACGTAATATATTTTTGATAGAGTATTATACAGCAGGTTGAAGATGAGGCAGTAACTCATCGAAGAAGACATTACGAAATGGTCGCGCTATGTCGTGAATTGGTAGAAGTTAGAATTCAAGGACCATTGGATCGGGTCCCAGTGGCTCAATGGTCTACAAGCTCGCCTTGTAACCAGAAGGTCCTGGGTTCGAATCCCGTTGGGCGCGTACTGATGAAGAGTCCCAAACTAGGACGAAACAGCTGTTCAGTACTCCCAGGGGGTTTTCCAGTGGTTCTCTAACTGATGTCAGCTCATGGTGAAATCCTCCATACAATCAAACAAAATCCCTACAAAACCAATATTTAGAGTATGATAACTCACAATATTTGAAAAAAAACTACTGGAAGCGTTATTGTATGTGATTGCACCTACTAACTACGGTGAGGAAACTGATGAGAAGTCTGCTGAATGAACACATAAAGTCATTTTATCAAACAGGAGTTACTGCTATAAATCTAACATCATTTTGAAATAGGTGAATAAAATGTAATACAAGTTTTATTTCAAAGCCACCACCACTGTTCATATAATCACATGTTTAATAACTGTGAATTTCAAGTTGTGAATTAATTTCTTTACCTCCCTTCCAATGTATTTGTGGTTGACATAAAAAAGCAACATGATTACCTAGTATTTTTCTCACTAAAGGAACATTTTAGCAATTTTATTAAACTACACCTCGTCTGATATGACTGAGTATAGTCTATTTATCCGATAATTCATTGGAATATCCACGTTGGCCTAAAACAACCATGTATCATCTTAAACTGGTTGGTAGACAGCAGTAAACAACTAATAAGTCGTGTAAAACGATTCAACTTTTCTGCACACGGTTCGGATCGACAGTCAGGTACTCACAAATATATATATATATATATATATATATAATCATAAGTTCGATAAAGCAACCCCGGATTATACTCACTTTAATGTGATACTTCCCATCAACAACAAAAAATAATTTGAAGTCGCGTTATTGGAACACACCGGCATATATCTCTATATTCATGTTGCTTCTTCACTGATACTTATGAGTTTCTGGAAGCCATGGTAAACTGATGTTACTTGAGATACTCAAGTACAATATTTAATTTCAATTAAACAGATTGAAACGGATTGCTGCATACTTAATTTTTTTTATTTCATAACGTACCAATCTTTATCGTATGCCTAGCTATCGCCTTCCTCGACAGGCAATGTCAGCTGACATAGAATCAGGTTGGAAAAGAGCTAGTGGTGGTTAAACCAAAACATGGCTTCATCAGTCAATCAGATCCACAACAGTTAGTTTAAGCCACGTAGGGAGGTGTAGACTGCTGTCTGGTTGGAGCCTTCGGGATAGTAAAAACCAATGGCTGAAGAAAATCGGTGATATGGCTCAAAATCGTTCTCAATGGCTGGCCAGATGCATTCACTCTTTGTGATTTATCATATCCAATAAAACTCTACTGTTCTTCCATATTACCATTCTTTTTGCATCACACTTCTGTTTATTATCTCGTTTTTGAACCTCCCTCGCTATCTTCTATTGTGTGGTAACTCGAACTGCTACACATCTGTGCAAAGTTACATGCTGAAACCAGTCAATCAGTCAGACTAATCTTTATATATATATATATACATATATATATATTTCAAAATGAATAAGCCCTGAAGATGTTGTTTAGTAGGGCAATGAAAGCCTCGCTAGTAAACCATCCAGCTCGGAGAACACAACTACATCAAAATATCATATATTTGACGGACACTTCTGAAAAATACACCGAAGTCCTAAGAAATCAAAAACTATGAATCACATTTCTAAAAACGGTTAAAAGACTGTTGATTCATTAACCCCACTGTTTAAGGTAACTAACTACAGAACAAAAACGCTGGTGGGTTAATTTACCAACTGAAACGTGCTTATCAAATTTCTTGTCGAAAGTTTCTCAAGTAGCCTTTAAGAAGTAGAAATTTTGATAGAAACTGCTGTATTTCAATGTTGCTGCTGTTGTTCACAAGAAAATTAAATAACAATTTAATTATATCTAAATACCAGCACAAAAAACAATTACACTTCATAACAGTGTTTACTACATATATTTTTAATTAGTGTATGTGGTTGTAGTTTCATTCTTAGAGTATGTGAATTGATTTCTAAAGTGACAACAATAACTTTGTCCCTATGAACTATTTAGAGGACAACTAAATTATAAATCATTAAAAAGCCTCTAGTTGCGAAAATTCAAAGAGAACTAAGAAATTTTTAGGTCATTTCGCATATCAACGGAGAGTGAGTCATTTTAGTCCAGCATAATCATCAATCAACCTAAAAACGAATAATAATTGATACCCGTTTCACAGAGGGTGACCCTCGTGGTCTTGGTGGGTAATGCTTTGGCATTTGAAACAATGGGCGCAGGGTTCGAGTATCAGTGAGAATATTATCATGGAGGATTTCATCATGAGCTGACATCAGTTAGAGAACCACTGGAAAACCTGGGGGTACTGGACAGCTGTTTCGTCGTAGTTTGGGACTCTTCATCAGTACGCACCCACCGAAGTTCGAACCCAGGACCTTCTGGTTACAAGGCGAGCTTGTAGACCATTGAGCCACTGGGACCCGATCCAATGGTCTTTGAATTCTAACTTCTGCCAATTCACGACATAGCGCGACCATTTCGCAATGTCTTCTTCGATGAGTTACTGCCTCATCTTCAACCTGCTGTACCCTACTGGTCACGGCTTCCCACTAGAACCCCAGGTTAACTGCCTGAATAGGGCCAGTCGCTAGTGAGCATCAGAATAATTTTCAAGCTGTCCAGTACTCCCAGGTTTTCCAGTGGTTCTCTAACTGATGTCAGCTCATGATGAAATCCTCCATGCAATCAAACAAAAATCCCTACAAAACCAATACTTGAGAATGTTATCACTCACTTGGAATGCAGGTTACATAGAGAAAACGTTTACCGAATAAGATGATATGCACATCCTGGATTACACTGTTAGTCATTATCAACCGAAATAACCAATAGCTGTTGCTTAGTATTTTGAGACCCATCACTGGTACACATCCAAGCTTTGGGCTCGATTTTCATAAACCGAGTAATAGAATTTCATTACACATATTTAAATTTATCGGTTCTTTTTATGAAAGGTATTTTAGTGGATGAATTCTGTCGCCTTAAAGACAGCTGGAGAAAAAACCTCAATGATAATAGTCCTATTCAACATAGTTATGTTATCGATTTTTATTGTTATAAATATCTGAGTCTTAGTGTTGAAGTATCAGAATAACCAAAAACTAACCTGTGTCATTATGACAATTAAAAATAGCTTACAAAATATTTAGCGGATTTTCTATTCAAACTGAATTTCAGCATAAAACATTCTTTACTACGAAAACTTTATAGAAGAATATTAGATCGTGCGACAACTGAAGCATTATAGCCAAAATTTGAAATAATGATTTTTGATTTTCACATGCTATCAAGAAGGGATGATATGTCTAATCTGTTTTTTGTAAACGATTTCATGCTTATTTCATGATTGTTTTAATTTTAGGATAATGAAAGACTGAAAATAGAGCTTGAATTAAGCAAGGGTGAACTGCTGTCACAGCATCAATCATCTGAAGCGAAAATCCAACAGTGAGTAGTGCGTGTGTGTGTGTATGTGTGGGAGACGGTCATTCCATTAAGTTTTTAATTTTAATTTCTACACACTAGTTTTAAGTTTTTTTTAACACATATAGATTTTTTGGATATGCTTCTTCTAAATGAGTTCCAGTGAATAATAATAAATAAGGAAGGTAGAAGTCAGAATTCATGATCCATTGAATCGGATCCCAGAGGCTGAATGGTATATGAGCTTGCCTTGTAACCGGAAGGTCCTGGGTTCGAACCCCAGTGGGTGCGTACTGCCGATGATTCCCAAAACTAGGATGAAACAGGTGTCCAGTGCTCCCTGGTTTTCAAGGGTTCTCTAACTGATATCAATCCGTGATCAACGCGTAGAAATAAATAAGGAGACAATGGAGTGAATAAAAGTGATTTGAGTTTCGTCAGTAAAGTATTTCCATTGTCTAAAGGCAACAAACACAATGCAACATTTTATATGGCGCAAATATATAAATCAGACAAACTACTATCAATTCCTCAATTTTTATCTCTCTTTAAAGCCGAAGCACAATCTTTACTAGTTCACTAGTTTAACAGCCCGGTAAAAAAGGGAGGGCATGGTATGGGGTTAGCAACTCTGCTGCCGAAAATCAATCCAATCTCTACAGGAATTTCAAAGCACAGAATATATATATATGTATAATATATATACATTCTTCACTGAAATCCGAGATATAAAGTAACACGTACTGACAGATGCATTCGGAAAGCCAGTCACCAGGTGTGTATTCTTTCGATGATAGCAAAACTACATAATGTTCAAAGCTGCGCAAGCTTCTCAGATTGTAAAAGAAATGGGAAGATACGGCACAGAAGTGCTAAAAATCTGTGAGAGTAGATGGAATTGATGTAAATTCTCTTAATTATTAACTGGAAGGTCAGTAATCTACCTCCGTTACCTAGACAATAATTATGAGCACTCTGAGGGAGTAGCTATCATAATGTCACCTAGAGCATCGAAGGTTCTCATGCACTGGGGTTCAATCTCCTTCAGGATAATGACAGTATGATGCAACTCAAAAGAAAGAAAATTTACAACTACATGATGCTACAGTCAAATGGTGATGTGCTGCTGTAGCCCTATGTCCCTACTCATAACCTAGAGGTCTAAAAATATAACAAAGCCACAGTACAACTGTTGTGCGTAACAGTTTTCAGCCAACAAGTTTCTGATGAACAAAGATACTGAGTTTTTTTAATACTCCACTGCTTTAATTTTATCTATACTGAATATTAACACACATACTAATCTTGTTCGATGAATAAAAACCTTGAACTGGTAGCCTACACGAATAAATCAAGTGTATTTCCTTCCGCATACATGAAATACTCTGATTTTCTTTACACAGATTTCATCCTGACAACTGATCAGATACAATTCAGAAAAAATAATAGTTTCATCTTAACGAAAATGTTTTTAAAAAACAAAAAAAATATTTTGTTGAGGAAAATATAACTGAAAAACATGCATTTTATTTTATTTGTAGGTTGCAAATGGAAAATGAAAATCTCGTTAGACAGCTGGAAAATTTACAACTGAAAACCAAACAACTATTAGAAGAGAACATTCGTATGTAAAAAAGAGAAACTTTTTTAAAATGTATATACTCCAGTGCTTTTTTGACTTAGTGGTATGCCAGCGACCCGTATAGCGTGATAATATCGCAGCTAGTGGTACTAGTGATAGTGTAACAACAGAAGACAAGGGCCAGGCAACAGATCGTTTATTAAGAAAATCAAAGCATATTTATATATTTTCATGTACATTATTATAGATTAGTTAAGCAAACAAACACAGTCTTCTGATTGGTTGTTTCTCACGTAAAGTTAATCTTTCATCTCTTTGTGACTGTTTCTTGAATGTCACATCATCTATATGTTAACTGTATTCGCCTACGCAAAGTCTGCTATGGTCGGTTTTGAATCTGTCTTGTTCATATTTTCTCACGACAAATCTTGAGAACGTAAACATTGACGTAAATTACTGTCTACCAATTTGGCTAGTAGACAGCTCTCACCACAGTTAGTATTGAGAGCTTATTCAATATAAAAATTTACCCTAAACTGGATAATAAGCTTCTGTATAAAAAGGGTAGTAGTAAAAGCTGTTAATGTCAAATTATGCAGTGAAAAAATCACACTAAGGTAACTTTTGTTTTCATTCCTTTATTGGAAAATAAATAGTTTAATTACTGGAAAATGTTCTTAAATATTGTAAGAATTATTTTTCATCTTTATGTCAGGGTAAGAGAAAACAGCTCAGTGGAAGTGTCTCTGATTGCAACACTGAATGAAGCAAGTTGGAATCCCATAGGGGATATGAGTTTCTTCACGGTTACAGATATACCTTGTTGACGAGTGCCAACAAACACGAAACCTAGGTCCAGGGCTTCCTGCCAAACACCTTCAAACATTTAACAAATAATGTGTTCAAATAAAATTTAGTTTCGTTAGTAAAAAAAAATTAAACCACTGTGGGCTTGTGGAATAATCTTCCTTTAATTTTCCAAACACAGTGGGATTAAACTGAAAAATCTTCACAATATTTAATTCAATTTGGAATTTCCCGGTGACTGATTGGACCGAAGTGTTCGGCCTCTGTTGACATGTCACTTTCTTGTGCGGATGCTTCCACTATATCTAAGGATTTAAGTTGAATGCATGTAGATCGTGATGATAGGTCCCAAATAGAATGAAATGCGCATCCTATATTCCACTGCTAGTCACCATTCAGTGGACCTTCACAATAAATTATTATTCAACTTCAACACTCGAATTCTGTCATGACATGCAGAACACTTAAACCAGAATATTTATTTTTATTTGCAGAGGTGAACAGATTGCATATTTAGTACTTAAAAAGGCATTGAATTTAAACAATAATTTATCTGAGTCAAAAAGGTTAGCATTCCGATTTATGTAAATGTTTTCTTTCACTAAAGATTTCTTCACTAATCAGAGCTAGTTAAAAAACCACTGGAATCTATGAACACTGCACAACTGTTTTGTCCTAGTTTGGGACTCTTCAACGACCACCATCATCGATCTAATTAGTGACTTTTGGGTTACAAAGAAAGCGCGTTCATGATTTGACCGCAGTACTGAAATTCACTGACCAGTGAATTTTAACTGCTATCAACTAGCAGTACAGCGACACTGTCCAGTGCCCTTCGGTTTTCAATGTTTCTTGAACCGAAATTAAGTAGAACCGCTGACAAAACCTACAATGTGAATTCCTCATTTATTAAAAAAGAAAATATTCCATCCCGCTATGCACAAAACTTCCATGGATTTAACTAGTCATTTTCATTCAAAATAGTAAACTTTTACTGCGAAATTTGGGATATCTTTGAATATGTCAAAAATCATTGGGGAGGTTATCACTAATGAGGATACACTGACTAATTACACGCTGAAAAAATTTAACTTTATTTTCCCACACTTGAATCCTAGTAAAACTAGGTATCATTTATTGAGGTGATTCAATATAAATTTTCAGTCAAATTCTACTATTTGACTTTGTTCTTATTAAAATTCTAATTGCATTATCGTAGATCTTTTAAGAAAAAATATGGATCTAAGCTGCACATCTTCGTGTGACAGAACACCTAAAGAATCATTTGACGATGCAAAGTCAGATATGGTCAGTGAAATTTATCTGAACGAAAACTTCCTACAAAAATTAACAGATCAAGAAGCTCCTCTTACATCTGAAACTGCACTGTATTCACTGGAGAATCAACTCAAGCCATACGATAGTGTAAAACAAGTTTACAGAATAATAAAACCAACCATGAAAAGCACTCCAGTCCCTCAGAATAGATTTCCATCATTTTTCAGCCGCCTACGTTCATCTGGATCAGAGAAAGTGGAAGTTAATCGATATCGAAAACTACGCAAATCGTCTTACATTGAGAAAGACAGCCAGTGTGACTTTATTTCATCTCCTTACCGAAATCCTTGTATTAAAGAAATCCCTATCTCCTTGAAATGTATGTGTGAGAAGAAATCTGAAGTACCCTGCACATGTGCACGAACCGCTATTGGTATTCAGCGACAGCTTCTACGGTGTAGATGTGAGGTATGAAGTATATATGATTTTCCTTTTTAATTTCGTTACATTTTGTCATTTATTTATAAAATGGGGGTATTAAAATATCAACTTAGATTAACTGAAAGTATGAGAAACGATAAGGACGGCTTGTTTCAAAAAATAAGTCTTAAATATGGCTCGAAATGATCGCTGTTATATCCGTTAGTATTTCCGCTATAGATTATTATTATGATTGTTTCCTTTGATTCCTAGAGGAACATAGGGCTTCAGCCGCACATCTCCACTGCCTTCGCTTCTTTGTCAACGTTTTCACCTGGCTCCACGTCTGCCCACATGATTTCATATCCTCTTCCCAGCACCTCCATGTCACCCTCGCACTGACGACCAACTCGCCGCTTCCCACTCGGGTTCCACTCGAGCGATGGCCTGGCGTGTGATGTCACTGAATGGCCTTCTCAGAGTATGGCCAGTTCACCTCCACTTCCTCTTGCATATTTGTTGCACAGTTGGTTCCTGCTGGGTTGGTTCGCTCCCAGAGATTCCTCACCACTGCTCATCTTTTCTGGCAGGGTATCTGATTTGAATATGAGCTAAGTCAACTGTTGATGAAGGTCTGTAGTTTGTTCGAAGTGCTCTTCGTGACGCGGCTCCAATTCTCTGATCCGTATAGTAGCACTGACTTCACATTGGAGTTGGAAACCCTGATCGTATTTTTTCATGCTGAGTGCTGCTGGTCTCCACACAGACCTGAGAGTAATGGAAGTTTGCCTTGCTTTCTCGATCCTCCCTTTGATATCTTCATCAGTTCCGCCTGTAGTTGAAACGATGCTTCCCAGGTAGGTAGAGGAGGTTGCTTCCTTCAGATTCCTCCCATTAATACCGATCGTTGTATGTTGTTGTTGGACAGAAATCTTCATCACTTCTGTCTTCTCTATGTTCACCTGAAGTCCCAACTTCGATGTTTCTTCTGTCAACTTGTTGCTTTCACTTGCATATCTTCCAGTTTGTGGGAAATCAGACAAATATCATCGGCGAAATGCAGATCCTCCAAGTTTTTTGTGTGGGTCCACTTTATGCCTGTCTCCTCGTTGCCCACTGTCTGTCGCATTATCCAGTCTACCGCAGTCAGGAAAATCATTGGAGATAGTAGGAAGCCAGCTTGTCTTACCCACGTCTTCACTTCGAAGGATTCCGTTAGATTCCCGTTGTGGATTACTTGGCATGCAATATTATCGTACAACTGCTGGATGAGGTGTATAACTGTTGGCGGCACCACTCAGTAGCGAAGTAGTTACCAAATCACCTCTCGATCGACGCCATCGAAGGCCTTTTCAAAGTCGATGAAGTTGAGGTAGAGAGCTGACTGCTATTCCAGGCTCTGTTCAATGATGATCCCTAGTGTTGCGATTTGATCGGTGCATGACTTGTTTCTCCTGAATCCAGCCTGTTCCGGTCGAAGTTTTTCATCCAGTGCGTATTTGATTCTCTGCAGGATGATGCGGCTTAGTATTTTACTTTGGATAGACAGGAGCATAATGCCAGGTCAATTCTTGCATTGACCTAGGTCCCCTTTCTTTGGCAGTTTAAATAGGTTATCCGATCAGCAAGTACATTGCTCTCTTTCCACACCTTCTCCAGCAGTGGTGTCATCAAGTCCTCTAATGTCTCTGGGGTCCATTTTCAATGCTTCTGCATGGATTCCGTCTGGTGCTGCTGCTTTTCCAGTCTTTAGCATCTTTATTGCCTTCGGGATTTCTGTTTTCGTCGGAGGGTTGATGTCCACTGGTAGTTCTGCCTCCGCTGTTGGTATTATTGGGCGCGTTGTAGGTGGCGGTCGATTTAGAAGTCTTTTGAAGTGTTCAGCCCAGTGCTTCCCTTGCTCCACCTCTTTATTGATTGACTTTCCATTGTCATCCTTCACTGGCTTAATTTGTTTTGATCTCTTCCCTGATAGGAACCCTGATGTTTGGTAGAGTGTTGTGAGGTCTCTTTTGTCTGCAGCCTGTTCTGCTTCATTTGCCATAGCTTCGTAATATTGTCTGTTGTCTTCCCTGGCACTTTTCTTTACTCTTTTGTTCAGTGTACTGTAGTTTGCTTTCAACTCCTGTTTTTGTTGCTCGTCGATGCACTGTATAATCTTTTGCTTCACCATCCTTCTCTCTTGCATTAGTCTCCATGTGTCTGTAGTGAGCCAGTGTTTGTCCTGTCTCTTCTTTATGCCCAGAACTTCCATGCAGGTTTGACTCCACACCCATTTCAGGCTGTTCTAGTGCTTTTCAACGCTGGTCTCTTCGCTAGTGTTGATTTGTGTCTCCGCCTTTTTTTATGATTGCAGTAAAGACATCCTTTGTTTCCTGATCCTTTAGTTTTTGAGTACTGAACTTGGCTTGTGTCTATCTGCAGCTCCTTTTTCCTTGAAAGCTTTGAATTTGATTTGGAGTGTTCCTCGTACGAGATAGTGGTCTGAGACGACGTCTGCCCCTTTTCTTACTTTTGTGTCCAGTAAGCTGCGTCTTCACTTCCTTGAGATTGAGATGAAGTTAGTTTGGTTTTGGGTTCAGCTGTCTGGTGACGCCTATGTATTATTGTATTTATCCTTGTGTTTGTATACGCTGCCTCCAGTCACTGGTTCATTGAAGGCGCAGAAGTCAGTGAAGAGTTCTCCATTTTCATTCATTTCTCCGAGAGCTTCTCTACCCATAATGAGTTCTCCTCCAGTGTTGTTTGGTCCCAATTTGGCGTTCATGTCTCTCATTAGGATTCCAGTGTCACCGACTGCAGCATTGTCCATTGTTGCTTGTAGTTGTCTGTAGGACTCTATTTTCTTTTTGGGGTCTGTGTTGTTTGTGGGTGCATAGCATTGTATAGTTGTCACTCTCCTCCCTTTTGAGTTGAATCTGGCGGTCATTACCCTTGGCGAGATCGCCTCCCATTGCATCAGGGCCTTCGTTGACGTTGGTGACATCTTGATAGCCATGAGAAGTCGTAACCAGTGGGGTCCATTCTGTCAAGAATGAGGAAAAATGCTTGCCACCGATGACATTGGCTTTTTTTTTAACGCTAAAATCACCAACTGGTAGAAGTTAGAATTCATGGGTTGGCCATTGAGTCGAGTCCCAGTGTCTGAATGGTCTACGATCTTGCCTTGTAACCCGTAGGTGGGTGCGTATCACCGATGAATCCCAAACTAGGATAAAACAGCTGTCCAGTACCCTCTGGCTTTCAGTGGTTTCCTAACTCGTATCAATCCGAGGTCAAACTTGAAAAGCGAACTTAATTCAAAATTATTATTTAAATGTGAATATTTTGTGTGAGGGATTTTGACACTTCCCTCTTAGTTACATTTATTTGTCTCAACACAAAAATAATAAGTCAAATAACACCTTCAAAATTGAAAACACGTATAACGACTACAAAGAAACATATTTAGGGAGTTAAATGTTCTGGATTTATGTCTGAATGGTATGAATTGGCGTACTAAGAAAAGCGAATGTGTGACTATAATAAAACATCTGTTTGAAGCTTCAATTTTTCACTTCACGTTTAAGTAAGAAGAGTAAGACTTGCAGTATTGAATTGTGCACATTTTATTTCCAGTCTTTTTTCCAACCGCAATCAGCCTAAAATATACATAGGATTACTGAAATGAGAACATACATTTTTTGTTCCTAGTATACGAAGACTAAGCATGAAGACCGTAGTTCAATGAAACAACAAGCAGTGCAGTCTGATGGCATAAACATTAAGTTGACACGGAGTGAAAGAATTTATTCACAATAAGTTTCGGAGAGTTTTGTCAAATGGGTTGCAACAAATTATGCGGAATCACACAAGAAGAAGATTACATAATTATATACATCAAGGCATCCAAAAGTGATCCAAAATCAGTCTAGTTAAAACCATTGGGTCAAACGAACAGGCAAATCTTTATACGTGGAGGCACAGTTTCCGATGCTACTCTGCAGCCTTGTAGATCAACCTCGGACTCAGAAATTGAGAAAGTTTCCCCTTGAAATATCACCTGTTTCGGCACAGGTCTTCAACATTAAATATCAATCTAAGCTGAACTCAAGTCAAGCCAAACCTCCTGCAGAAATTACAGACGAATTTCCGAGATGCCATGAGGAACATCCTGATAAAAACAGCTGTATTTCTCATTGTGTAAGTATAATGGAGGTGTGACGGATGGGATTTCTAATTGTACCTCGAAAGCTGAGGCTGTATACACCAGTCTTAGTCACCTCTAGCGCTAATGCGATTTCACATGGACTTACGACTGCTTAGTGCGTGTAGTCTTGCTATACTCCCGGGAAACCTGGCCTTTTCGAGATGTTGATATATAGCAACTTTGCATGTTAGGTCATTGTTGTTTCGGTAGAATTTTCTGTTGATATCTTCGCTTGGCTGATTCTGAATTCTGACACAGTGTGTTTAAATACGGTGATAGTCTTTCAACAAGTGATGTCATCTTAGGACAGTAGTTTCGGTGGCTTGGACCTCTGGTACGAATGACATCTCAAAGGCTTAGGAAACATTCACTTTTTACAAATCTTGGAATGAATGATAATGGTTTTTCTGCTATTAATGCACCACTACTTCCGGAGTGTGTTAAGGAAGTCTGTGAGACAGTAACTCAAGAATTCTTATTGAACAACAAGAATGCACCAGTTTCTCTCTTTATCTCTTTCTGAAAGTAATACAAAGTACTGAATCCTTCTTTAAATGCTGTTGATATGCATGCTGACTTGTTTTTATGATGTCTTCCCTCAACTATTTTACTTCTCTTATCCCTAGTATAGCAGTAAATTCATGATTCGAATGCTTTTTACCACTCCAGACAGTACACTTGAACTAATCCTTTTGATTAGCATAAAAAATACACAAAACAATAAACTCCCTTCAATATCGCATTTACTGAAGCATATTTTCATAGAAAATCTTTTCATGTTTATTGAGCTCATAAAAATTAGATTTCGCTAACGAGTGTTTTTGAGTTTATAAGGAAAATATAGGACAACACAGCCCATAATCACTTCAAATTCAATTGTATTCTATAATTTGTATGGTTGGCTATTCGCAGATAAAGATATGTGCATTACAAAATGAGACTATAATCGACATAGGATTATAGCTAAAATCATCAGCTTGGATTTTAGTTTGTACAGAAAAAACACTTGGTATAACAAGGTGACTTCGTTGGGTTGGTCATAAACATTTTGCGAATAAATATTATGAGAGTGGTTTTTATGTTATGTTTTCGTAAATACGAAAGCGGTCACCGAGAAAAGTGTCACACACAAAACAGTAAAACAGTATAAAGAAAAATATAATGACAGGATGAGAAAACAAAACAGGTATACAGTTTCTAAAGGTTCATTACATCTGGGAGAAGAAGTAGGATGAAAACTACTGCGTTAATACCCCTGATTTCGATTATGAGATTTATTTCTAAACCTCTTGTTATCCCCCTAGCTCGATAAAGTGAGTTATGACATACTAATAAATGCTAGTTCATGCACTCATCACCTCTTCACATTTTTCAGCCAGACTCACTCCAAAGAAACTATGAATATTATAGAAGCCAGTGAGACGACATTTGCGAAGCGTGTCCAGAGAACGGTGTCCCACTATGAAATCACTTATTGAAAGAAGCTATAGATGGTAAATATCGCTCTGGTTGTCAACAAACAAGTGAGAATTTCATTCGTCACACCTACACAAGTACCGAGATAGATAAACTTTTCAGCTGAATCTGACAGTTCACCTACAAGGATGAGCGAAAATACAAGCTCCAGCAAATCTTTCAACAAAATTTTACCTTTCGATGATGAAAGCATCTAATATACTTACTGATACTGACAACCAATTGATTAAATTCGATTTGGATAGTCCTCACGTTATAAAATAGTAACACGGTATCGTAAACATACTGAAGATCAAAGATCTTACAGCTATCTCTTGAATGTTGTGGTCACTATTAAAACTAAGGAGAAATCACGAAGCTTGTTGAGGAGAATGGTAATTGGTGTTTGTAGGCCCTCAATCTATCATAAGTGCTTTTGTTTTGCGTTTCCAGATTGTTGGCAAACTCCTTAAGAACTGTTTTCTCCAAAGGACAATTCCAAATAATACTCCTGTCTAAAGCACCTAAGGCAGACGACGTTTATGTTCACCACTGACTTTCAGGCGAGACCGGTAATGTATTACAGCATTATCGGAACTGAAGCATGTACTGCTGAAGGAGCAGTTGCATACCATCGGTAGCTGATAACAATTTAATCTATCTGAGTCCAGATTTGAGTGGCAGAGGGAGGAAAATAGCTATCATTATGTCGTCGACTACACAGGAAGTTGATGCTGTTCTGGATATAGATTGTCATCTGCACAAAGCTATCAAGATCGGCCTCCTGTATCAGACCTGTCGCTATTTAGTTCCTATAAAGCCACTCTCTTCTTAGAAAAACTTGTGTACTCAAGATCTCAACTAGAACTACATTATTTGCAGAAAGTGCTTGTTTGATGTCTTCCCATTGATAGTAAAACTAATCCTTCAGTGCATTCCGGCAGCAATCGTTGTTAGCAAACAGAGATTACCAAAGACAGAGCTTCTCTGACCAGCTGCTTTTCAATATTATATAAATTTCGAGCTTAACAAAACACAAATGATTGTTAATAAGTATCCAGTAGAGTAATACAACTTCAGCTATTGGCTACGCTTTACTAATTTGTATTACTGTAGATTACTTCACTTTTAATGATTTCTATGCTGATTGTATGGTCGAGTTGAGGGTAGTTTTCTACTCAATAAACTCCATATTCTGGTAAGTTTCAAATTTAATATTAAAAAGTTGAGTATATGCACAGAGTAATTCACTTGTTTTCATAATTGTTTCTAGTTATCTAGAATGAGAAAAAAACTGGAAGAACTAGAGATAAGTGAAGATGCTCATCGACATGCATTGAAAGAACAATATGAGAAAAATATAAATATGTCTATCCACCTAGCTGGTATTCTGCCTTATACACCCATCGATCTAATAAAACGTAAGTGCAATTTTACTAATAATATTTGTGAAAAGTTTGTGCATTATGAAATAGATCAATTGACTATAATTATATTTCGATAGTTGGTCACAATGCACTCAGCATAATGAACAAGATTCGGATTCTATTCAACACAAATGTGAAGTCAGTCAGTTTTTCTATATGGGCCAGAAACATGAGGTGTCCATAATGAAAAGCATTTCCAATAGCCATCTTCAGACTTTTATCAAAAGCTGCCTTTACTCAATAATGAAGATCAAATGGCCAGCCAGAAAGAATTAGCATCACGAAACTCTGGCCATTAACCAACCAAGAGCCGACTACTCAGCAAATGTGCAGAAGAAAATGACGATGCACTGAGTATACGCTTAGGAGATCGTCGAATGACATCGCGCACCAGGTCATCTCTCTAGTGGAACCAGGATGGGAAACGAAGAGTGGGTCGTCCAAGGGTGATGTGGAGATCGTGTGAGGAGGAGATTAGAGATGATGGGCAATCGTGGACCCAGCTGAAGAGAAGAGCAGAAAACAGAAGAAAGTGGAGATGTGTTGTTGAAGCCCTATGTTCCACTTGGAACCCAAGGGAACAATAATATAATAATAATAACTGTTTACAACACACAATATGAACAGTTGAAAAGAAAAGTTAATTGCAGAATCTTTATTGATTAATGTCATCCCGAACACACGCAACAAAGATAACTCGGCACAACTGTCAACAACCTGGTTTATTATTCTGGTTACAAAAAAAATAAATAAACACAACATAAATGGACTGCATTTATGATTACAAGTTATAAATGTGTGAATTAAAACTAACTTCAACAGTTCGTGAAATCATGGGTAGTCATTTTGCTCGAAATATTCGCAAAATCAAAAACTTATCACTTTGCGTAAACAACCACTGAACTATAATCATAATTAAGGTCATCTTACTACTGACAAGAGTTTTCATTCAGGAATTTTGGTTAATTTAGGAAAGTGGGACTTTCTTTATTTGATCGTAGCAATTGACTAACAAGTATACCCCGCCTATAGAATACTTAGGTTTAACATCGTTTACTTTAATGATGATTGTTATTCTTTCAAGGATTTTATCTGTATTATATTATTTATTCCCTTGGGTTCCGAGTGGAACATACGGCTTCAACAACACATCTCCACTTTACCCTATTTTCTTCCATCCTCTTCAGCTGGGTCCACGATTGCCCATCATCTCTAATCTCCTCCTCACACGATCTCCTCCATGTCACCCTCGCATCGACGACCCACTCGTCGCTTCCCATTTGGATTCCACTAGAGTGATGGCCTGGCGTGCGATTTCATTCGACGGTTTTCTCAATGCATGCCCCATCCATTTCCATTTTCTCTCACATATCCATAAGTTCTGAATTAACACTGAATGATTTTCATTAGCGTAAAAACCCAATCGTCGATTAGCATAATGTAGTGTTGTAATTACTTTGAATTACCCTTTGGTAAGTGATGATGAATAAACTCCTCAGTAAAATAAAAACAAACATATTTTGTAAGGTTTCTCAATGGATGAATCCCCTTTTTCTATTCTTTCGCAAAATGTTGAACTCGTATATTAGTTTACATAATTCTTATTGTGATACTTTGATATTCACTCTGTTATCTAATCTCAACAACAGACTTTTTGATTAACAAAAGCAAAACTAAACTGTACTTTTTCGGTTAAACTTACTTTTTGGCTTTTCAGTTAATATTTTGTTTGAAATTCTGTCAACTATTCCTCTCGAAGTTAGACTATACATAAGTAACCAGATGACAGTTTTTAATCGGCTTTAATAAGCCGAATGCATGAGGACTAGATTATACTAATACGGTTTTTAGTTATGGAAGTTATAAGTGTGGCAACTTGAGCTATTGCATTTTAGTGCAAAGTTCTCCGTGGTAAACTCATTCGGTCAGAGTGTGATGTTTGTAGTGCTCGGATGTGTTAATGTGGGAATACATTATTTATCGAACTTTTTCACCTCCAGTAAAATTATCATGCATAGGCATAGATCTCATTTATTATTTGTTGAATCACATAACGAATGTTGTTAAACACACGAGTTTGAAGTGTACAGATTAAACGCACTGCTGATATAATATCACAAACATTGGGATTCGTATTTTTCCCCTTTGGGTGAGTACTGTCGATGAGTCCCAAACTAAGATTACACAACTGTTCGGTATTCTGTGGTTTTCAATGGTTATCTAACTGATGATATCAATCCGCGGTCAAACTTGAGAAGTAAATCAAATCTTGAAAATCAAATGTTCGTCCTATTCTCTTCTAGCTGTGCTCTTCTCCCTCTTCATTTTCTTGCTTCAGGTATTGATTAGCGAATTCTCTCTTGTATGAACCTTAATCCCCCCTATGACGACTGAACCCTATTGGTTGTTAACTGTTTTAATTTATCAATGAATTTAGTGTCCCTCAAGATCATTTAAAACCTAAATATACTGTATTCTCTGACAAGCCTTTTCACTGTTGCCTAGATATAGTAAAATGTCTCTTGCTAAAGATCTGTCTTCTCTCATTCTTTCCTGAACCGCTTATCGGTGATATCGTATGGTGGTAGTTGTCGTTGTCAATAGTGATTAGAACAGAAGGCTTGCAAATCTTCTAGGTGGAAAGTTCACTAGCTCAAGAGACTCGTAAACTTCCAGGTTGTATTGGCGGTTATGTCACATTTAAATATCTCTGATAATTTTTCTGCAGTCAACAATTTTAGTCTTTCTACAATGTCTGTTGCGGTTGTGACAAGATAGCTACACACAAATCTAATCGATCCATCCAAGTACTGTGTTGTAAAGGTACAAGTCTTTTACCGACAGCTTAAACCTTCATTTCAGTTCCTGTAGTTGGTATTTGTGTTATGTTTATTTCGCTTTTGAAGTATTTTATGCCTGTCTTTAGTTCGCATTTCCGCTTTCTGTTTGTTATATTGCCTGTCGTTTTTCTAATTCCTTTTTCAAGTTGCTTAGACCATGTGATTATCTTAAGTAAATCTGCTGACAGTTTGTGTATGTCTTCTAATATATTTTCAAAAACACACGTTTAAACTCATTTTAATCGCATACATCATTTTTATGTAGAACACGAAGAGTAGTTAAAATCAAGTCTAGAATATCTGCATATATTTGCTTTATCGTAGGCCGCTTTTTCAGTTACTAATAATATTTCTAACTTCATTTTAAATTGTTGTTTAAGAAAACAAATTCTGCTGATAAATTATTCACTAGTTTGTATCTTCGTTGTGATGTGATAATTTGTTTTTATAAGAAAGTCAGCTGACTGGTTCTTGTCATAGAATTAAAAATTTCATAGTTTACCTAGGTAATATATAATCTGAAAACCTTCACAACAAATTAAGTCTTCTGTAATAATTCATCCAATGAAAATAGCCTTATTGTAATTGACTCTTTTAATGAGATTTTCATTTGATGTTTTGTTTGAAACAATATTAAACACAGAACTAATAAATATTCAAATGAATGTATGCACATATTAAAGAGTCGGTGGCACACCGGTAGAATCCTCACCAACCACGCAGATGGTTCGGGGTTCGATCCCCGGCCGACGCACCTCTTTACCTCGCCAAGCCAGTAATGCGACTGGGAAAGAGGTGAGGTTGGACATGAGGCTAGCAAACACATCTTGTAAGAATAAATACGACTGCCACCGAAACTTCAACGCTCTAGCTTGAAGCCCTATGCTCCATTGGGAACGTAAAGGAATAAAAAACATACTAAAGAGGCATGTTCCTTTGTAATTGATCTCTCTTCCGTGTTTCATTGTAGCGCATTATTAAGTATGCTTACTAAAGCAAATTTTAAAGTACTGGTATTTGTTTTCAGCTGATAGTAGGAAAAAAATTAGTTTCACTGTCCTGTCCCGTTTTTTTGTCATTGTTAGTCATCAGCATATCTTAATCAAACTGACAAAGATAGAAAATGTACAATCTCCCTAATCTATATTCAATCGCCCTTACTTTCTACGATTACCTTCACCGATTATAAATTTTGCTTTGTTTGCTATACTCTGCTGATGTGAATTGTTGTAGATCTACTTATTTTTAGTAATTTCTGTACTATAGCCGATGTCACTATGCAATGAAGACATTCTTCGAAAACACTTCTTTCCCTTGATAAGCTATTATTCATATCGCTACAGGTTACAGAGTACTTACAATTTTATCTTATTATTGTTATTTCCCTGAGTTCCGAGTGGAACATAGGGCTTCAACAACACATCTTCACTTCGTTCTCTTTTCTACCGTCCTCTTCAGCTGGGTCCACGATTGACCAAACTCTCTCACCTCTTCGTCACATGTTCTCCTCCATGTCACCTTTAGATCACCCACTCAGCACTTCCCACTGGATTCCACTCGAGGGACTGGCGTGCAATATCATTCGGCGGCCTCCTCAATGTATGCCCGACCCATCTCCACTTTCTCTTACATGTTTCTTAAGCGATCGGCTCCTCGTTGGTTTGTTCCCATAGTTTCTTGTTGCTTATTCTTTCTAGCCATTTGATCTTTAGTATGGAGCGAAGGCAGCTGTTGTTGAAAGTCTGCGACCTGTTGGAAATCCTTTTCAATGATAATCTATTTTCTAAGCTTATGATTTCATTTGGCGTTATTGAAGAATAACCATAAAGATATTAGCTGAGAAAGACTATTAGAGTGAATCCATAATCACCCCATCGATTTTTCTGTACGACTGTTTACTGACAACAGTTCATAAACAACAGAATTTGTTTCAGCTCACTTAAAGCCATTGAAACAGATACTTGTTTATTCAAGCAGAACGCTTATTACCATTGAACTAACATATCCCTCTCCTTTCATCTAGTTCTTAAAAGGTTTTTAGCGTACCAAACTAATGACTTTCTCTGGATAAACCCTAATTTTCGGGCAAGCCTACGCACCAAGTATGGCAATAACTTGTCATTCTTATTATGCACTGGGAAGGTATATGCTAAACTATTAGGAGACAATATAAGAATAAAAAATGCCGTCATTTCAGTGTTGAATCACTTCACTAATATCTTGCAGCTTTCCCTTGTCACGCATAAATAGACATAACACATAACTTCTATATTATATGCGTCTGATCAAAAATATGACATATAATAACACCATTTTCTGGGAAATTATTCACTTCTTGACTTATCCAAGTTAATCGGAAATACAAAATATGAGTTCCATTCGATAAAAGCTGTACTGGTTAGCAACGGTGTAAACAGTCCGGTAACAGAACATCTGGTGAATTCAGAACATTCAGCTCCATTTGAAAAGTCCTTCAATGTCTTATACAAGATCTGATCAGACCCATCAAAAGGAGTGAGTTCAAGGCATCTAGGAATAGCTGAGGCACTGGTGATCCAAAAACTCAGGCCCACTCTATGTGTTCAAAAGAAATACGTCCAACCTTTATCCTTAACATAGCCATCATGAAAAGTCAGTCCCATCAATAATGATCATCTCATTACCTTTCTTGTCCAACCTTCCTGTTGTTTTTACGTCTTAACTCCGATCTGCATTACTAGAATTTTTACTGTCCGAACTTCCTACCTATTTTGTTAATACTACGTCCTTAATCGGTAATTATACAAACTGACAAGTTTTCCAGTAATTATGATTTTGTCTTTTGTACCCGATCTTCCTGATTATGACACTTTGTAATTTTATTAATTTAACCTTAGACCGGAAATAATTCTGGAACTTACTCACACATTTACTATAAATACACGGATGTACAGCCTAGTTAGTGACTTCGTCGAAAAGAAAATTTTCTTCGCTGCAACCGTCTTTTTAATACTTCCAACTTAACAAAAAAACAATCATAATAACCAATAGTTGTTGGTCATTTGTTCAGTTGAGCTGAATTCTTTAAAATATATTGACGAATTCATTTCTTTGGATGAAGTGTTATATCCCTGAATATTCTGTGACACAAAATGAGTATTTGGAAGCTTTATGTTTCTTTTTTTAGCTTCAAAATGCTGAAAGATGTGTAGGTTGCGAATTGTGTTGCTTATGTATTCGGTTTATCTATACGTTATACTTTGTTACTAAATAAACCACATCTTTCCAATTTAATCGAGGAAAAATTACCTAGGCAAGAGTAAAACTTAATGATATGTGAATATGATTTGGTTCTACTGCATGCAGTACTAATATTCTATTACTAGGCTTCTTGTTTTATTAAAACGAAGTACATTTAATGTCGAACTATCTGTTAAGTTACTTTTTTAAGCTTTTCAAAGCACCTTCATTGAGTATGGACTATATTTAGGATGTATATCTTTTAAATAAAGTATAAAACAAGGTATTCAGAAACCCTTTCACTACCTGATAATTATTTCACAGGTCTTGGATAATAACATTGTCGTAGAAACACCGGGTAATTACACGCTAGATTAAGACGGATAATGTGCAGTCATCATATGTCACTAGGACCAACATTCTGTGAAATATGGATTTGTCTTTGTTAAGGACAAATACTTTTAAACCGTCAATTTCTAATCAAATCAATGGTTTAGGCAAAGAAGACTTCACCTGCTATAAGGGTTAATATAATCAACCTGATTCATCAATGGTCCCAATGACTTTTCTCAAAGAATTAAAGGGTTTATTTAAACGATAGGAATCAGCATGAGTGATGTATTTGAAAGTTCTCCTTTACCAATTAGATTGTTCATTTCTCCATCGGCTGCCCTCAATACGACTGATCACATCATCTGCATTAAATAAAAGCGTAAACATTCTAAGTCAATTAATATAAACTCTTTCTTTATTTGCATAGTACATGACACAAAGAACGAATACGTCTACTATTAAGCATATTTTCACTACAATCAATTTCTGTATAATGTAATTATAGACACTAAAGTGACACTTAGAAACAATATATCAGCCATAAAAGCCTTTGAACGCAGTACACACGAAACAGTCACAAAGTGATAGATGATTGAAAACATGCTTCTCAGCAGTTGGTAGAGGCAGAACAACAAAAAAAACATTAAGTCCCTCCACCAAAATAAAAAATAACATCTTGACATGCAATCGGCAACATCAAAAAGTATTGTTCCGATATGACTGAAACAAAAACAACTTTCTGATTTTGACGATCAATGAAATAACCTTTATTAAATATTATGTTACCGATTATGTTGCTAATACATCTCATCTCACTAGTAAATATGATTTACTAGTCATAATAGAATGTGAAACTATAGAATTGAATTGTTCAACTGCATATTATGTACTCACAAATCTTAGATGTACAGACTTGTGATGGGATTAAAACTTGTCCAACAGCAGATCTGTTGTGTATGTAAACAAAATACAGTTAACTTTACGGAAATCACAAACATTATACTGATTTTGCGATTTGCACGATGCTTTCTCTGTCATTGTCTGTTGCTTTTGAAATCTTCCTCAGAGTGTATCCTTGTCAATAACTTTTCTGATGTCCCTTAAATTCTCACAGTTCTTCTATATTACTACATATATCTATTTTTAAATAACACACACCTAATGATACGTGAGTGTATAACTATGAGTAACCTGTTAAGTGAATTAACAAAAGAAATCCTTTGTATAATGTGAGCAGCCAGGAAACTTTTAACATAAAACTCTTTTTTCCCTTCTCGTATCATCTCATTATAAATTAAGATGTTTAACGAACCAGAAACATGACAGCATCGATATATAAATCACACTTAAGGGTAAACTGATAGGTGTGCATTTGGGTTGGTGTAACTTGAAATCTCAACAGACTAGCTTCATCAGAGATCAAGAAGGCTCTACTTTGGTTTCATTATCGAAATCACATGGATTATACAGTATTATTGTCCAGTTCTTGCTAAATAAGTGTCAGCCACATCATTTACTTTCATAAAAACTTAATCATATACTGATTAGTCACTACAGAGTAACCAATGTCAAACTTCCAGGGTTTATGTTCAGCCCGAATAGCTCCTCATTGGTGACGTTTCTGACTCCAGCTCATCGGTGCTCACTGGTGACTTGCCCTATTCAGGTAGGTAGTTACCTGGGGTTCTAGTGGGACATCGTGACCAGTAGGGTGCAGCAGGTTGGGCGTGAGAACAAATGCTCGCCGAAGACATTTGCTAGCGGTTGCGCTATGTCGTGAATTGGCAGAAGTTAGAATTCATGGACTGACCGTTGGATCAGGTCCCAGTGGCTTAATGGTCTACGAGCTCGCTAGCCTTGTAACCAGAAGGTCCTGGGTTCGAACCCCGGTGGGTGCGTACTGATGAAGAGTCCCAAACTAGGACGAAACAGCTATCCAGTACTCCCAGGTTTTCCAGTGGTTCTCTAACCAATATCAGCTCATGATGAAATCCTGTAACATCAGAAATTTGTAATGCACAAATAATATTGTGGTGAGAGCTGTCTACTAGCCAAATTGGTAGACAGTAATTTACGTCAATGTTTACGTTCTCAAGATTGATCGTGAGAAAATATGAACAAGACTGATTCAAAAACCGACAAGAGCAGACTTTGCGTAGGCGGATACAGTTAACATATAGATGATCTGACATTCAAGAAACAGTCACAAAGAGATGAAAGATTAACTTTAAGTGAGAAACAACCAATCAGAAGACTGTGTTTGTTTGCTTAACTAATCTATAATAATGTATATGAAAATATATAAATATGCTTTGATTTTCTTAATAAACGATCTGTTGCCTGGCCCTTGTCTTCTGTTGTTACAATATGAGCTATATTACATAACCTTTGTGCTTAAAAATTCATTACTTACAGATTATCTAAATACTATTAAGTGATATTGCAATTTTACTTAGTAACTGTCGAAAAAGAATAATCTCTATTATATTATACTACTGTTGGTTTTGTTTCCACTAAAGCTCCGAATTACGTATTGTCCACATCAGTATGTGAAAGTTCCTCCAGAATATCTCCAGTCAATATAGAAGATCATTCAATAGTCCCTAAATATTCATCAACAGAATCCCTCAATAATCTATTCACATGGTTTCATAAAATTTTAAATACAACTTCAACGTCAATGAAAAGTTTATCATTACCGTCTAGTAGTCAACTACCATTTGATCAAAATAAAGAAGATCCTAATTGTTCACGATACACATATCCTAAAGATGATGAATTACAAGAGCAGGCCAATACAGCCAATACAAGTAATTCACCAAATGAATGTTATGCATACGACTATGAAAAAATTCCAAATTTTGACAAACTTAATAAATTGTATAATGTCCCACAAAATGGTCAAATTTCCTTGGCTACAAAACGAAAAATCAGCAAAACAAGTAATAGAATTACAAAAACTCCGGTATCATTTCAATCAATAGATATTAACAATAATGATAAATTTAATAGTGAACCAGCGTGTGTACAACAGCTGACCAATGGATCAACAGTACAAAATCCTGTAGTTTATCAGCGTAAAGTAAGCGTAATTTATATTAGAATCAGTTAAATTCTTCAGATATTTATCATTTTTGCGTATAACTCTGTAGTTGTAATATAGCAAAACTAGCTTTTGAATTTAGCCATACTTAAAACATAACTATTCACGATAGCTTCATGCGTCGGTGGCACGGCGGTAGAGTGCTCGCCTACCACGCAGGTGGTCCGGGGTTCGATCCCCGGCCGGCGCACTCCTTTCCCTTGGTAAGCAAGTAGTAAGACTGGTAAAGAGGGAAGGTTAAGCATGAGGCTAGCAACCATATCCTGTAAAAATAATCACCACTGCTACAGAAACTTCAGGGCTCTAGCTTGAAGGCCTATGTTCCACTGGGAACATAAAGGAATAATAAAAATTCACGATAGCTTCACACCTTCACTTGTTATCTAGATAGGGAAAATGTTATTCGAAAAGATTGGAACATACTCAAGCCATATAGCACAGACTAATCCTTTTTTTCGTTATGTCGCATTTCTTCTAATTAAACAAACCTATTTCTTTCATATTGAATTGAAAGACTATACATTTTTTCATTGTGATCACATTCTACCTACACTTCATCAATGTGATCACATGAAAAAGACATACACTATTTTCTTCTAAATGCACCACCTATCATAATGAAAACTTAAGCATCCAGATTTCTTATGTGATAATCAAGATTTCCACTTTCTTGTATACACACAGTATGAGAAAACTATCAGTTAGAAATTGAATCATCATTAACACGAACATAATTAAGTGAAAGTTGGATTAGTTTAGAATAACGTGACAAAGAAGCACTTTAATGACAATGGGTGGATGCCTCTGTATTTAATTCATTTTACTTAATATCTCTTTAAACTCCCATTTATTCTATTTCACTTAGTTTTTGAAAGAGTGAATCTTTTCTTCATGGACTTCATAAATCCATGCGACAGTTTCTACTCTCCACCTTCAAGTGCACAATGGAATGAATAACTTTTGAGTTGCCCTTTTTTTCTTAAAACTTCAATGAAACATGAATCAAAAGCTTTTTCAAAGCTGAGATTTGTCAAAATAAAGCATAATTTTCCACAAAAAAAGCAGGAATTCTATGGATCTTAACAAATGTTATGTGAAGATATAAGTATTAGAAATATTTCAAAGTATCCTTATGTCTTGTTGTATAGTAATCAATAATTGTTACGACTTCTATTTAGACTTCCAGATCATCTTCTAGATATGCTGACCGACTGAAGTCAAGATGTCGATCAGTGGATCACACAATTATCCTCCAAATTTCTAAAGATAAAAATATTAGTGCTGCATTACAGGAATATCCTTTACCTCAGGTAAGTAATTTTTATCATCATGCATCATGTATTAACTGTTGCCATTATTTGATTGAAACTAATCACCTTTATTGAACTGTAACAATTATCTGATGAGATTACAGTCTTAGGCTAATAGTAGATTTTTAAGAAAAGGAGAACTATTAAAAGCTTTATTTTGCAACCTTTTTCCATTACTAATCGGACTCATATTTCTTGACCTGAGAGCGGTATTCGATTCCGTCGACCGACAGGTACTATGGCGATGTTTGTCTGTGAACGAAATGCCGAGAAAATACATCACACCGATCAAGGCACTCTACTCAAACTCATGCAGCCAGGTGAGAGCCTATGGAGGGTTGTCATTTGAAGTGGTCTGGAAGGGATGCTCATTACCCCTATTTCTCTTTAATTTCATCAAAAATTTAGTAATGGACTTAACCGTGACTGACTTAAGTGTCTCAGGAATTGACTTGTTACTAGGGAATAATGTCGTTGACTTAGAATATGCAGATGATATAGTCCTTCTAGGTGAAGACACTGACAAAATGCAGAGTCTTCTGAACATCTTGAGCTGCAATCTGTGAATGTTTGGCATGCGATTCGCTCCCGTCAAATGTAAAATGATGCTACAGGACTGGACTACATTGACTCCTAGCTTGAAGATAGAGGGGAGTGAAGTAGTAGGGCGTGTTGACCACTTCACTTATTTGGAAATTTGCATCAGCCAACGCCTACGGATTGTTCACTGACGAAATCTCAGCACGGATACAGAAAGCTCGCTTGGCACACGCCGTCTCTGGCGTAGACGTGATATCCGGCTACCGACCAAAGGGCGTGTGTACTGCTCAGCAGTCTGCTTTGTCGTCCTTTATGGCTGTGAGACCTAGCCATTGAAAGTGGAGGACATGAAAAGGTGCCTGAGTTCTATCTTCCGTTGTTAGGTGGCATAATAGGATGGGTAATATTGAGGTGGTTAGGCATCGATCGAGTGCTAGGTAAGGAGGGGAAATCGATCGACAAGGTTGTGAAGCTAGACCGATTGAGATGGTTAGGACATGTGTTACGTATGCCTAGCCATCACCTTCCTCGACAGGCGATGTTAGCTGACATAAGATCAGGTTGGAAAAGAGCTAGTGGTGGTCAAACCAAAATATGGCTTCATCAGTCAATGAAATGCATAAGTTAGTTTAAGCCACTTCGGGAAGTGTAGATCCTTACTAATCCACTGACAGCAGTTTTGACGAACTGTTCAGTTTCCTGTAGAAACTAAAACACTCAGATATATTTATGGTGGTATATGATTTCAGTGCTCAATTAGATCAACTAACCTAGTCGAGAAAGTATTCTAAAGGTACCTATGGAGTCACATGCCAGTAGGCCGAAAACGACTATCACCCATTACAATTTTGCTGAGATAGACATTTGTTCCTAGCTAGCACTAACTTCATATAGAAGAAGAGACACTGTCTCACCTGGCTACTATGAGCATTAGACCACTACTGGATGCAAATTTATCATCTGCCTGAGAGCAGTCAGATGTTGAAAACGAACCTCTCGGAAGCCCCTGTGTCCGAATTTTGATGAGAATATGAAGCCTGTACTCAAGAAGCAGAAACCATCGATGCATAAGTTGACAAAAAGTCTTCGTAAAGACTATGAATAATGGGGGATGATGGCTACGAAATAAATAGAGAAGGCATAGGCTCTAAGTGATACCAGTCATTCATTTAGGCTAGTTAGGGAAACGGGTTGTACAACGCGATGATAAGTGAAAAAATCTGCCGGGAAGATGGAACACTAATGACTTCTTACGAGAGACGATTAGAAGATAGGCAGAATATTCGAAGGAGCGATCTAACTAGCCTAGAGGTGCTTATCATTCAACTACAGCCTGGATGGATTGGAAACACCAGTCCTCCGTCTCTAGTGAAGATTGCTATAGTTACTTATAATCTGCAATAAGGCAAAATGCAAGTTCCTGGTCATTTAATTTCGCAGGTGAAGATGAATTATTAACTTGCTAATAGTAAGTTTACGGGAATGCGGACAATCGCACTTCTTAAGAAAAAGAACAAGTCTTCCTGAGATAATGACAAGGTGATTAGCCTGACTATAATATTACCTAAGATCCCAGTGTCTAAGTTAAAATCGGAAAATCACGACATTTCAGGTATGGAAAAGTTAGCATTGGTAAAATCGTTACGTGTTCTGGAACACAAACTTATTGGCGTCTAGGCCCCACTATATTTCCTGACCTGAAGCCGGCACCTCAGTTCGCTGACCGATACATAATGTAGCTGTCTGGCTGCGAAGGTGTCAAAAAAGGACACTATGCTAATCAAGGCAATCTAGAAAAAACTCATGAAGTTGTAAAGAGCCTACAGAGTGCGGTCGTCCAAACTAATAAGTACCAGCCACATCTGGAGTAGGATTAGTTTGTAAAAGAGTTAGGTGTGGTGATACGAAAAAATGGCCTAATTCCCATAGTTAGGTGTTGATTATTTAGCCCATGAAGTCGGGATGAAGATGATCACTAGCAGCGGTGTCAGACTTTGCGACATGGTTCAAAATCTTTGATGTATTCAGTCCTTATCATCCTCTAAATCAGGGAGGTCTTCATTGGACTATTTTGCATCATTTATGTCTTTCTCTATCGTGGTCTTACTAAACTTCTTTTCTTTTATATACCTTTATGGAGTAAGAACTTGAACTGAGCTACTTCTACTCGAAGTTATGGGTTGTTTCGGCATGTTATAACTCATTCTGACTCCTTATTTAAGCAATAAGTTTAAAAACACGGTACTAGGAATAGGAGAGATAATGTGATTTAAATTCATATGGTTGCAAACGTCAAGCCGTCATAAGGTGGCAGTTTTGTAAATTTGTATCATTGTTATCCTATGATATTCACATAAATCATATGGCTTATAATTTTAACAAATGGAAGCGCATAAACAAACAAAGGAATTATTGTACACCTAAAAGACTAATTATTTAAATAAAGCGATTTATGATGTGACCCATTTATTCTTGTGTTTACCTAACGGTACCTCAAGACGAAGCCGGTCATCCTCATTTTGAACGACTCGAACAGATGCCTTATTCTTATACAGAAAGTCATTCAGCATCTTTGCTTTCTCAGTATAAAACCCTATAGATTGGTTGATAGAGAAGAATAGATTATTTTTCCCCAATTATTATAATTCCTGAACCGGAAGTGAAAAATCAGACATCAATACAACTATTTGACTAAAAACCCTTAAGAATAACAATAAATATCTTCAATTTCAGGGGAAAACAATTGAAATATATTTTTCCTTTATTAAGTGGATGATTATCCAAAGATAAACATGTTTACTTATCCATGTAGGTGGTGAATGATCCTGCAGGCTTAACTCTCCAACAAAAATTGGTATGTGATAAGCGCACTCGCCGCTCATCTTCGGCTCTTTCATGACCAAAGGTAGATCAATACTGACTCATGAAATCTTTAAACCAATTAACGCAATAATTGATGGAAATAAAAGTTTCCCCAGCAATCTTCATCATTTACTTTACGTTAAATTCCGCCTGTTAAATACCTATAATATGAATTCTCCCATATGTGTAAAGTGTATTTTATTATATCTTGTATTTTTACCATTTACGTCACTAAATAAATCTTCAAACATTATATGTAACATTCTGTTGTATTCGTTCTACTGAAGTGTTAATATTTTAAGGTATTAAAAATATACTTCATGAATATTTGCTCTTTTACTGTTCCTACTAAGCACACTTAAGTAGTATGCATATATTTTGTAAAAATTGAGAAACCATTCAATTAACGAGACGACTATTCATGCTTCCGAAATGTGTCACGTATACGGTAGTAAATATTGAGCGTTTATGAAATCACACGTACACGTATCACATATAAAACGACAATGATGGATGGAATGTTAACACCTTTGCTCTTCTGAATCATCACCACATACAGTTAAGCAACAAGAGAACTCATCAACACGTTTTTCTGGAGTACCACAAAAGCGCTGATACAACCACAAGTACCGGCAACTTAATAAATATGTACGCAAACAACCATAATCAATGTAAGGTCTATAATACTGTTTAAATGTTTAAGTTAGCATCACTTACGCCTATGGTTCAAGTAAAAGTTAGTATGAAAGAAGATAAAGCAGGAAAAAATCGAAACTCACAGAATGACATGAAACAAAATAGAAGGGTAGAACAAATAGCAGAAAAAGATGGCAATATAATCAGGAGTCTATTCTCAGCTAGATCACTCAGTTTGCGACCAAGAACCTCGATATTTTTTGAATTATTCAAATTGTGATGTCGAGTCCATTATAAAAAAATCACCTATTTTAGTAACTAACTAATTAGATATGAAGCAGCGTGTAATCTGAGTTCCATATATATTTCCTTTTATGAATGTCAATAAATACTATTCAACCACTTATGGAGAAACTTTTCTATCGACAGTTTGAAGTTAGAGTCCACCCATTTCAGTGCTCCACTTTCCAGAGATTAGAACCGCACCTGATACGTAGATATTTGGTGATAGCATCCGTCACACAAGAAGTGTAGTTCAAAGCAAGGCTAATTACACGGTCATTGTCTTGTACTCATTACGATTACATTGTAAACACAGGCACTTCATGAAACTAAAGAATTCCCCCAAAGCTATTCATGCGATTTTTGAACATAAATTCCTAATCATTACACAGAAGACTTGCAGGAGAAAACCAAAAACTTGGCAGAAGACTAAGACAGGACTCCAGATAGGCATAGGGAAGACAGTGGTGATGGAGACAGCCAACAAACAGCTCCAATCACCATCAACGGGAGAAATTTGAAAAAATCACTCCCTTCACTTATCTAGGAGGCACGGATCCAGATGTCAAAGCTGGCCAGAATCGGAAAGGCAAGATACACCTTCGTCAATCTGAAATCAGGTTGGAAGTCTTCTGCATTCGACATTAAGAACAAGATTCGGATTTTCAACACAAATGTCAGGTCGGTTTTTCTATACGGGTCAGAAACTTGTAGTGTCACGAAAAGCATTTCCAACAAGTTACAGACTTTTATAAGCAGCTGCCTTCTCTGGCTCCACACTGAAGATCAAATGGCTGGCCAGAAAGAATTAGCAACGAGAAACTCTGACTGGGAATAAACCAACCAAGAGCCGACCGCTCAACAAATATGCAGCAGAAAATGATATCGAGCATCAGGCTATCACTTGAATGGAACCTGATTGGGAAACGATGAGTGGGTGGTCCAAAGGTGACATGGAGGGGATGAGAGATTATAGTCAATCGTCGACCCAGCAGAAAAAAGAACAAAGTGGAGATGTGTTGCTGAAACCCTACGTCACACTCGGAACCCAATGGAAGAATAATATAGTTTTTTGTACCGTATTTACAGTGAAGAGTCCTATTTAAGCTTATCTTCACACATATTCGGTTAACTCCTTAAAAAATTGAATATAACATCTTATGGTTAACCTTTAGAAACATTGAAAGTTCCATTACAACGAGTGAAGGTAGTGTCATTTGAAAAGCAAGTGGTATTTAGACTTTCAAAATTCCTACAGCAATAAAAATAGCACGTGAGTCTGAATTACTTGAAAAACTATAGTTGAGATACAAACTTTTGAGCGATTTAATCAATTCAAATTTTACTACTTTCTACATGTTTCTAAGCAATAAAAAAACATTATTCATTATTACGAAAATTCAAATCGTAAATGTAACGGTTCGGTTTGCATATACGCATTATTCTCGCAAGCAGTAAACACAAAACGATGTTATGCCAAAAATGTTTCAGTTATTAAAACAAAACATTGATTTTCAAAGTTTTATATTTGCCATAGCAGTTGCTGCATAATTACGAAAAATGATTACTGTCTTATTCAGATATGATTTTCGTATCATTTAAAACATAAGAGATGAATATTTCGTCCAAATATATAAGTAATTAAGACGCTCAACCAATTTGTATTTGAAAGCGAATGATCACAGTTATAACACCAATGTAACTTTACTTTTATTTGTAATTTCAGATAAAATTGTAGCTGATAAAATTATTTAATGATGCAATCATTTGTGATCACTCTATAGCGTAATTTGAAAGAAATCCGAAAACATATGTAGATTTTAACCACTTTCATTAACTAACTATTAAAATATAGTTTTCTCTGAAACAAACACGATTATTTTAATACCACTAGTCCGTTGAAAAAATTTACTACAAGTTAAGAAAAAACCTCCAAATATTTTCACTTCTGAGGGATAACTATTCCTTTCAGTGCAGCTATTCCCCGAATTATCTCTAGAAGTGATCGGGCTATATCTTCAGCAGACATCTTGTCGAGACTCGGAACATGCACAAAAACAACACGATCAGCTGAAAGTTCTAAAGACCTGTGAATAAAAAAATACATCAATCATACGATGGTGAACTAACTTGTAATATATGTAACCACATAAGAAATTTCCTGGATTATTTGAAGTTGAACAGGATATATGATTCTCTATCAATTTTTCACATAATTTACTGAGATCCATTCCGCACTGAAGAACTGGTTCGCCATGAGTGGAAACACAACCGTCATTAGCACAATAGGTACCATCAACATCTGGTTTATTGTAGCCATGATTATAAGACTGAGTTTCCAAAGTAGGTACTGTCACGTCAGTATGCATGCCAACATGAATCACCAAATCCTATTAACATGAATGAAGAAAAAATCTAGTTAAATTTTGAACTAGAGTATACGATTTTTGAAATAGATTAATTCTGCAACAGATAACCTTAGTCCACCCCTTTTGTACAGAAAATCTAAAGAGACTCAAATTTGGCACAAAGAATGTCCATAAAAGAACACAAAGTGAGAGAAAACTCGATTACCAGAAAAATCGAACTTACCAACCTTAGCAGTCAAGGCAAAGCTTTCAGTATTGTAAATGAGCAGTGATCGTTACTTGGTGTGTCGGTGGCTCAATGGTAGAATGCTCACCATCTACACATGTGGTCCGGAGTCCGATTCCCGGCCGATGCACTCCTAAACCTCGCCTAGTGCACTAGCCGGCAGAAAGTCTGGGAAACACGGAGGGTTGGGTGTGAGACTAGGAACCCCACACCGTAAAAACGGCACCGTGGCTACTGAAACTTCAAGCCTTCAGCCCTCGATCACTCGGAGCACAAGGAAATGAAAAAAGTGACTGTAACTACTCTGCACAATAAAATACAATAATATTTATTAGTCTTTGATAAACTCAGCATTTGAGATTTTATACATACTACAGCAACTGAAGAAATCAGATGTCAACAATGAGTCCTAATGAAATAAATCACGAGGAAATACACTACCACTACGATGCATTCTATTTTATGGTATAAAAAACGTCTTCGAACTCAACGGAAGTGCATCTACTTCAAATTCTACTGCATGACTGACTGGTTTTAACATAGAACTTTGCACCGATGTGCAGCAGTTTGAGTCGCCACACTCCATGTAGTATACAAAGCAAAAGAAGAAAGTAAAAAGAAATGCAAAATAGAGACAGTAAACAGAGATATAAGGCAAAAAGAATAGTAAAATCGAAAAACAAAATAGTTTTATTCGATATTATAAGTCACAAGGAGTGGATGCGTCTGCGCCAGCCATTGAGAACGATTTTAAGCCATATCACCGATTATCTCCAGCCATTGGTGATTACCGTCCCGAGGACTCCAACCAGGAAGACTACACCTCTCTTACGTGGCTTAAACTAACTGTAACTTCACAGCCTCGTCGATTGATTTCCCCTCCTTACCTAGCTCTCGACCGATGCCTAACCACCTCAATATTGCTCACCCTATTACACCACCTCACACGGGAGACAGAACGCAGGTACCTGTGGTCAAAGACAGCCAGCCTTTTCATGTCCTCCACTTTCTATGGCTAGGTCTCACAGCTATAAAGGAGAACGGAGCGGACTGCTGAGCGGTACACACGGCCTTTGGTCGACAGCCGGATATCACGTCAACGCCAGAGACTGCGCAAACTGGCATATGCGAACCGAACCTTTCATATTCGAGCTGAGATTTCGTCAGTGATGCAACTTTCCTACTGCAAATCTATTAACAAAGGAAAATAAGCGTACAGCTGTCGGTCAGTCACATGTAAATTACGAAAATTTCCTCAGTAAACATTTGACCATCAACTACATCAAGAAAGATACTTTCACACATTACACTTATTCAGACAAACCTATATCCTTATGGTTAGACTAACGTTTTAGCAATATAGTTGCCAGTAACCTGAAGTTTCCATTTCTCTGTCACCACTGTTACACGATAGCGACTGCACTGACACACATGGTAATAATAGTTTACAAAAATAAGTAAATCTCCCAAAATAAAGACTCCCAGTTTGCAATGTACGAATTATTTATTCATCTGTGAACCTTTGACACTAAACTACTCTAAGCTGAAGTAAATGAATGTAAAAGAAAAAACTATAACTTACTGGATTTTCCTTCCAAATAGAAGTAATATATTCATCGACTGCACCATATGCAACAGGGACATTTTCTATTATGTGGAGTTCGGCAGGAATACAAGCATCAGAGTACTTAGCATCCCAAATTTTCTTCAGTTGATGAACAGCCAAAGAACTGGAGTTCTTTTCATGACCACCAAAAAGACCGAAACCAGTAACAACTATGCGCATTTAGATTTCACACCTGTATTACAAGAATAGTTTATATACTTTGAACAACTCAAATTGTGCAATTTAATTGCTACATCGCTTTCAATTTTGTGTCCAAATAAAACTGCTTAGAAATGTCGGTACATTTATTCTATACAAAGAAACTTTACATATCACTTAATCTGACTTCTGCGATAGCTTTCAACACATTGCAAACACAGTGTCTGCACATGATTGTTGCCTCAGTCGAACAATTTGTTGATCAGTCTCTGCATTAATTTACACTAAATCACCTGAAACTTCAGAGCGGAATGCTTAAATTTAAGTCACTGTTGCAACTACAGAGGTTCTGATACTTTATATTCCAGTAAAACTATTTGGACTTCATACTTGTCAAAAGTTATG